TGTGGTATACCTTAAGGGTAGCCATCTGGCCCATTTAAAAATTTTACAGTTTTTTCTTTTATTACAAATTACATACTTTTTACACCTTTTTTCTCATATATACACTCACAAATCAACCATTATGGCTCAAGAACTGGATTCTATGGTAAATTTCACCCTTGGTCACCACTGGAGGCGTCACTGGAACTCAACTGGATTGGAAGCTACACCCTCTGGACCATCACTACACTCAATTACACAACTCACCACCATGGCAACACTTCAACACTCACCAACAACAACAAATTACATAACTCACACTATACATATGTACATTGCAGGACAACTACATACACTCTCACACCATTATAGTACATGTATACACACCACTCCACTATCTTCTGACAGTTGACACATGCAGTGTTGGTCTGGTACCACTCTGGATTTACAAGTGACATCGTGCAGGTTGTCATGTCATTTGTTAATCTTCCTTGCAGCTGTCAGGCTATCTCACACCACTCATGTAATACTCATCACCTCACCTTAGCTTGCAGACTAGTACATCACCTCATGTAAAATGCTACACCAGCATAAAACCCTCATGTAGACTTCTAGTTCAAACTAGAATAACTCTTATGACATCATGTAGGTTGCTCAACCAGCCAAAATACCTCATGTACATGTTCTGAATAGCTAAATTCCCTCATTGTAAAGCTCTGGCCAGCTAAAATATCTCATTCTCTTGTTCCCCTGAAGCTAAAATCCCTCACCTTTGTGTATTTAAGAGGCTCTCCTCTCAGTTGTTTTCCCCTCAGTTTAGTATCCACCTATTTCATACCCCCTACCCTTACAAACCCTTACATACCATTACATACCATCCCATTACATTGAAATATCAGCTAGACTCACTCTCTCACTCTCAAATCAACCTTTTAGACCCTTATAAAACTGGGTTAAACCCTTTATCCACCTGTTAAGCCACAGTTATCTTTTGATACACTCCACTATCACTTTATTAAACCTTCCAATCTGAGATTGGTGGGCTTGTCTAGTGTCTAGTGATCCAGGAAAGGCAGAGGTATCCTCATTCATCCCTTTCCACACTCAGCAAAAGGTTTTCACAAACACTTTTGAGCTTTACAAGGGAGTCCCCAACGTGATAGAGGATCCTGTAGTTTGGCAAGTGGATTAGATATATCTAAACCATTGTAGTGATTACTATAGTTTATTTTAGTAGAATTTTAGTTAGTTTTAGGCAGGAAAATTCCTGTTTTGACCACGTGACAAACCATATCTTTGAATAATCACATTCTGTTTAGCTTTTTACGACTTAGTTCTTAGATATACCTAGTAGAACTCCGGATTAAATAGTTAAATACTCAAGAATCAATTATAAAGTAGAAGACGAGGGGACCGATTAGCCGACGTACTAGAGTAGTTAGGATAAAAAAGTTTAACTACCAGGTGGTAGCCGATTAAAACTCAGTGCGAAGTAGAATACTAGTCTATGACAACCTCCACGAATCTATATAATTGAATAGTAGTATCATATTATTTAGTTTTATTAGTATTATTATTAGTTAGTAACCAAAACCCCCCAACCTTGCCCTGGATAAGAACGCCAGCGACATTAGTTAGAAGAATTTAGGACTACTACTAGAAATTATCAACAACTCAACTCAAGATAAAGCAACCGGAATCAGTTATTCTCAGTCATGGCGTTTTCCCAGGCTCAAGACGGACCGACTCTACCAACAACCAACCCAGCTTCAACTGGAATATTCTCTGGCAATCAAAACAATCCCAATATGAATATTGATCCACCAATAATACCACCTATTTTACCCCCACCACCAATACAAACAAGTCATACTCGAGTACGGCACTATCGTGAACGGTATGGGGCTCATCACATAATTCAACAACAATCAAAACTATACTGGAAACAGAAATTAAACTCGATTCAGTAGTGGAAGATTCAATCATCAGTCTCTCTCACTTTATATCACCAAATATTTCACTTTTCAGATTTCAATTATTCAACGAACTCATTTTTCAACTACTCCTGAAGATTCCATCAGACCACTTTGGACAGCTGTATACCGCCTTCCACATCCCAAGAATCCTTGTTGGAGTTGGTTAAAAATTTCTCAACAATTCTCTTTTCCCCTTTTTTCTTTCCTTATACTTACAAAAACATCACAAAAAAAAAAAACACTCATAAAAATAGGCTACCTCCTGGGAATGAGACTAAACTGTTCAAACCTGAATTTTATCAACTCAGAAAACCTACAAAACCCAGGAAAACTGAAAACACCCTAACCCCGGGTAGAAGTAAGAAAAGCCTTATGCAGATTCTACACAGGATGATGCAACCCCAATGAATACCCATTCAGCCACTTTTTGGGCAGAATTGTCTGGGGACAGACAATAAGTTGGGGGAGGATCCACACTCAGCAAAAGGTTTTCACAAACACTTTTGAGCTTTACACCGTATTGGACACGAGTGAAGTGTAGTTTTGGGCGAGTTGCTGATCAGAAGGGAGACAAGGAGCAGGACAAAGATAAAGGAAAATAGAAAGAGAAAGAAGAAAAAGGAAGTGGGAGGTTGGAGCAAGGAAGAAGGAGGGAAAGTGTGATGAGTGGATTGAGGAGCAGAGTTGTCACAGAGCCAGAGTGAGGAGTCAAAGTCCAAAGTGAAGTGGCTAATTACTGATGATCTTCAGTACTGGTACTTCTGAGAGAGAGCGTGAGCCGTAGATCAGATTGAGTTGAGTTTAGGTTTCAGAATCCGTGTCAGGTAAGATTTCACTGGCTTCACGACATTTCAACAATTAAACTTGCGACTACCTTGTACCACGCTTTCATATTCTTACCCCTTCTATTTTTCCTATCTTGCATAAGCGACTTCTTGTCAACAACTTATATTCTCTTTTTCTCGTTTCACACATGAGCTTCACATTTATTGTTATATTACTTGATTAAAGGACCTTCCTGTGTCTATATTTTTCTTTCCGTTATTTCTTGTTTGTATACCCCTGCCCTTTAGGTAATGCAGCTCACTCTTGTCCCTTGTATTGTGTTGTCTGACCATGATTCTGACTTGAAATGTGACTAGTTTTACCATTCTAACACAAGCTGTGTTTGATTCCAGGTTGCCAGGAGCTCCTCCCAACAATCTGGGATTAATCCCAGCTCATCAGTGGGGTGTGGCCCAGTCTCACATCAGATTATGCACAATCCAACATGAGACTGTGCCACTTGAACCCAGCTTATTGGGGGCTCCTTCCATCAAGCTTGTCTGGAGATGGTATCAAACCCAGCTTGCCATGCCATCCTGTCAACAAGCTGGGTCTTATCCCAGGTTGCACAGAGCTCCTACCAAATAGCTGGACATGTGCTGCTCCTGGAAACCTGGTATCAAATACAGCTTTCTGGGATGAGTCTCTCCCAGAAAGTTGTTACATCATCCAATTTTTGGGAAGGGACTATCAGAACACATGTAGGATTTAAAGCCAACCTGTTGGGAAGACCTCCTCCTGGTGAACTGCGACACAATACAGTTATTTGAGAGGAGCCTCTCCCAGAAAATTCCATCTGATACCAGCTTTTTTGGAAGTAAATACTCCCTTGCGGTAAGCTGTAAATAGAACCAGATTGTTGAGAGGAACCCCTCCCAATGCAGCATAAGCTCATGGGGGATTGAATACAATCCAAAATGACTGACATGAGGTTTGGTGGAATCCTCTGGCCTACAGCCTGTGGGGCCTTCTGAACATCTGGGATAATATAAGATTTAATTTTATTTCCATTCTGGAATATTCATTCTGAAATGAGTGCTGACATCCAGGGAATCATCTTAAAATTCTGGTGTTTCTTTACATCAGAATCATAAAAGAACTAAACTTGTGGGGGACAACCATGTGTCAACCATGCCCCATCTGATCAACAGCCCTTGTAGATGGTTTTAGAAAGAGAAATCATAAATTTGAAATTTTTTTAACTTTTTCTGGGAATTTCTAATTATATTTCTGCAGTGGCTAAAAACACAAAAAGAAGAGCTTCACCAGATTTGATTTTGATTCAAATATAGAAAAAAAACTGCTGATGCCATCAAGATTATATTGTGTTGAAAACAGGGAATTTCAAAGGACATTCACGATCTTTTCTGGGAAACTAGCAATACATTCAGGGTAAAGCCTTGTGACTTTATTGTGAGGCTCTTTTTCTTTAATGATCCTACCAGTGATTTTTAAGAAAAAATACAAGCCTTCCATGGTGACTCAGGTGAGACAAGCAGTCACTGGAAATCCAGTGCCCTAAAATTTCCCCTGGTGATTCATCTGTTATGAGCTGGGGAGGACTGGAACCGGGGATGTTACATATGTAGAGAGCCTGTTACGTACATGTCACAAACTTTGAACTTGGAGTTTGTTTGAGATCCACACCTTGTACATTCCTCATCTTGCAATCTACCATCAAGAACCAGAACCCTGAAGATCCTCACCTGATCTCCTCAGAACACCCCTAACATATTGCAAGATCAACTCACATGGAGACCAGGGGGGTTGATAAGTGCAAGCCAACCCCCCACGCGCACGCCATTGAAGAATGGCGTGCAGGGCAGGCAAGCCATTTGCCTGCAGGGGTATACCCTGCAGGGTTGGCGTGCCTGCGTGCACGCCCAACTTTAGGTCCTAAAGGCATATTTATATGCGTTTAGGACCTGGGCTGTCCCATAGGACCCAGGCATGGGTCCTATGGGACGGCCCCAGCATTGATTTTTTTCTTTTTTTTCTTTTTTTTTTCTTTCTTTTTTTTCCCCCTCAGCCTAGAGAGGCCGAGGTCACACAGCCGGGAGGAACCCCTCCCGGCTCGCCGGTCTAAAGTCCAGCGGAAGGGTTTCCTTCCGCTGGACAAGGTACACGTACCTCGTCCATCGGAAGGAAACCCTTCCGCTTGGACGAGGTACATGTACCTCGTCCAGAGGAAGGCTTTCCTTCCGATGGACGAGGTACAATATGTACCTCGTCCAGCGCGATCCGGTAGTTCTCCTTGGATTCTTGAACGTCTCAATGTAAGTTCATCCACGTTCCATAGGACCGCAGGCCGAACTAGTGATCATTATATCTGATTATAATTAAAAAAAAACAGGACACGTTTGGCCCCATGCCCGACCAGCCCACCGAATTCACCTATTGGATTGCGATGGTCTTGCCGATTTCGGAACCAATACAAGGCGGCCTTACTACCGATCATCAGCTATCGAAGTCGGCTGAAGATCCTTGTCCGTTGGATCCGAGTCCTCAAATCTCAATGGAACAGTCAAGGTTGTCTGATCACCTGAATTGCTCCCCCAAGTCTCTCCTCCATCTCCCTTCACGCTACGTATTTGTACTCCACCAGCATCCATTGTCATTCTTCTCTCTTCTCTCTTGCATATCGCATCATCGCATCGTTCTTATCTGTCAAAATTTGACTGCCCGTTCTGTATTCTGAAAAAAAAAAAGTTGATATCATGTTCAAATACACGAAGAGTGATTGGATTCTAGTTTTTCTCTGTTGACACAATCTTATTGACTGCATCTGTCTCTCCGCGCTACTGAAGACGCTTGGAAGTTGAGATAAAATTGAAGGTTTCCTTCCGATGGACGAGGTACGTGTACCTCGTCCAGCGGAAGGAAACCCTTCCGCTGGACTGTAGACCGGCGAGCCGGGAGGGGTTCCTCCCGGCTGTGTGACCTCGGCCTCTCTAGGCCGAGGGGGAAAAAAAAGAAAGAAAAAAAAAGAAAAAAAAGAAAAAAAAATCAAGGCTGGGGCCGTCCCATAGGACCCATGCCTGGGTCCTATGGGACAGCCCAGGTCCTAAACGCATATAAATATGCGTTTAGGACCTAAAGTTGGGCGTGCACGCAGGCACGCTGTAAGACTCAAAAGTGGTTGTGAAACCCTTTTGCTGAATTGAGAAGGGGATGATGGAGGTGCAAACTCTGCCCTTCTATACTATCAGAAACAAGACCCCCAAGCTTAGCTTGGAAAGTTTTAATAACGTGATAGGATTGGTCGGTTCCGGTAAAACTTTGTTTGATGAAAGGTAAAGGTTGAATATATAATTGCTGATAAAATAAGACTGTTCTTTTATGTAACAGGTGAAAGGCTTATATAATTGTTTTTAACTGGTGAGTTGTATATTGATTGACTGCTGAGTGATGTACTGAGTGAATGAACTGGAATGAGTGAACAAATGGGGGGAAGAGAGCCTCCTTTTATAGACAAATGTGAGGGAATTTAGCTCCAGGGCAGACAAGAAAGAGTGATTTTAGCTGGCCTGTAGGTACAAATGAGTGAATTTAGCTAGTCTGATCATGCAAGTGAGGGAAATTAATGTTGAGGTGAACTGGAGCCGACAGGATTGGAAAGGATAAGATTCAATTCAATCATGGAGAGAAAAAGAGAAAAAGAAAAGAGACTGACCTGGAGCCGACAGGATTGGAAAGGATGAGGAAAAAGGAATCCTTTCCAGTCCTGTTGGATCCAGTATAAGAACAAAATGAAAACAAACAACATGTCACACATTGTGACATGTGAGAGATGAAAAACAGGAAGAGGCATGACAACAAGAGTAGCTATAGAGACAGAATGAAACTAGTGACATGTATAGCTCAACACCCCCCCTTGCTGATGACTGAGTTTTATCGAGAGAAAAAAAAAAGAAAAATGATAGAGAAAGAGAGATAGAATTAGACAAGACCAAACATAAGACGATGTTTTTCAAGCAACACTCGAGGGAGTGGTTTGGTAAGCATATCTGCCAACATGTCATGAGTGGAGACATGTACGATTTGGAAGATGTCGTCTTTTACACAGTCACGGACAAAATGGTACCTTGCGTCGATGTGTTTGGTCCTGGAGTGGTGTTCTGGGTTATTGGCCAGCGCTTCCGCCCCCTCGTTGTCGACATGAAGTGGGAGTGCTGATTTGGGTTGAATACACAGTTCTGTGAGAATGCTGCGAAGCCACAGTCCTTCCTTGCAAGAATCCGCCAAAGCTTTGTATTCAGCCTCGGTGCTGGAGAGAGAAACAGTGGCTTGCTTGCGGGATTTCCACGAGATTGCACCATCTCCAAAACGGTATGTGTAGGCGGATGTTGACCTGCGATCCTGCCGATCTTCAGCCCAGTCAGCATCAGAGTATCCTGCACAGGTGAGGGATCCACCAAGGCGCAGACAAAGTGTCTTTGTTGAAGCCAGGTAGTTTAGAATTTTGACTGCAGCAGACCAATGAGATGCGGAGGGATCACGGAGAAATTGAGAAAGTTTGTTCACTGCAAAAGACACATCGGGTCGTGTGCATTGGGCGACTCCAAAGTAGGGATCCAATGAGTTGATTGTAGGACCGGGGAAGA